AAAATCGTAACAGATCTGACTCGAAAAACCAACCAAAACTATGAGGAACAATACATGCTCTCAATAAGACCTAAAATACTGTCATTCGTTTAATCTAAATGTTTTTAAAGTTAAATTTTTTGACTAAAATTATAATACCCTATCCAAGGTTTATTTTCTGCTGATTTTTTCATATCAAAAATTTAAAAAAATATAAGTTTTCGTATTTATTTTTCTTGCTTTTGTTTTCTAAAGTAAAGTTCTGATTTTATGATATTCTAATGCCAAAATCATCAAGATCTGAGAGTATTTTCCGCGAAACTCTAAATGCAATAAAAAATATTCCTCACATTTGCTTATTTGGCAGTTTTTTTTTATTTCTCAAGAAGATCACACAGAGAGTTCTTCTGGTTCCGTTCCCCTTTTAGTTTTTGTCTCTCAAAAAATGCTTATTAAAGGTCTCTTTTCCCTGTCGATTTTTGTATTTTCTTTTTTCTTATATATTGTGGTTTCCCGTTGTCCCAGGTCCGCCCATTCTCAATTTTTTTTTCTTTTGTTTTTCAATGGGTTTTGGGTGCCCCTTATATTTTGTTTTCTTGTGAGTTGCATGTCGGCGACTGGAGTTGGAGTGCAGTTTGCTTAGGGCGTACTTAAGTACCGTTATTTTAATAAACGCCGTTTGCCCATGCGCAGCTTGAACTGGCCCTGTTTCATGTGTCCCCCTCCGCGATGGCCTCTACTGTGTTATTTGGGTAATTTTTTTCCTGTTGCCCAAAAAGACTTTCTTCACATAAAAGAAATTGAATTACTGCTGATGGCAACTTAGTTGCTAAAAAAAAAAGAGTACAAAATTTGCTTGCTCATGGCATTTTTTTGCAATAAGAGAAGAGAAGTAAGAAGGAAGTGCCTCATAAAGTATGCCATTTGATTTTCGTAATATTTATTTACTTTGTGCATTGCACAGAACCTTTGTTCTTATTCTTATTTATGCAAATGTCAAATGCCTAATTGACAGACAAGAGCCAAGTGTTTGCCTTGCCTTCTCCTGAAAAAAAGCGCAGAGTAGGGTTAGTACAGACTAAGATATACCTAGCATTCTTCATGAAAATTAAGAAATAAATATACCAGAAAACCTAATGAAATAATCATGATTCTCAAAGGTCCATTTCCCTTCTTTTCCTGTTTTATTTTCTGCCAATACAATATACCCTACAATATTCAAGTACCCAGTACTGAAAACCCCATGACAGTGACCAGGCATTGTCTATGCTGGCGGCGAATTACAATTTACGATCGTCGATCAGCGGAATCGAGCTCCACATTTTGTCAGCGGCTTGGGCTCAGATACATTTTCCGCTGCGGCGCAACCCTCTGATTTGGAACGACCTTGAGCCTTTGTGCGGCAGAATAGACCCAACAGCTACCCTCACGGGGCACCCAATTATCTGCTGGATATACGAGTTATAAAGTGATCTAATGAATTTACTTTATGCGTGTTTCATTTGATGGTGATTGTCCGATAAACATTTTATTTCGCTTTTTATGGCCCTAGCTGGCCGTCGTCGCTTCGCTTTTGTATTCTGTGTTTCTGTTGTTTGTTTTGAGTGAAAGTAATTTGTCGATTATCTGTTTTGCTGGATGTATCTAAATCTGTGGGCCCGACACGCCTAGATACTACTTGGCACGTCATGTGCTAAGAGCCAAAATCTGAGAGCTTGTCCGCAGATTCTCTGAGTCATGCGAGAGGAAAGAAGAAAGTTTAAACATTGTCTTTGGGGCCTTGGATTCCTCGCCTTTCCCAAACTGATGATCATTACTATGAATGATGATGATGATGATGATGGACGTAAATATAGTTGTAGTCATCAAAGTTTTATTTCTGGTTTATGCCTACACAGTCTCTTATTTAGTTAATAATCATTGGGCAGCAGCAGGTGAAGAGAAATTTGAAGATTTTCTTGGGCGTGACACCGCTCCAAGATGAGGTTTCCAGAATCGATAATGGGCTGGCCATAAAATATCAAACTTGAATACGATTACACGCCCCAAATCAGATTATTCAATCATGGAATAATTTGAGTGAATTAAGTCTACTGGCTCTAATCCGATCCGATCTGGCTGCGATTAAGATAACCAAGGAGCAGAAGAGAACCAAAGTTATCCCACAAATTGGCCCATCTTCCTCTGAGATGAGATCTTCCATGCATTTATTCCACTCGAGTTCATAGCAATGGACAAATTGTTTTGCCATATATGTATCATTGAGCTCCGGCTCTGCCCCCCCCTGCCTTGGCCAATCGACATCATTATTTATATCGCCAGTCCGCAGTCTGCAATTCCGGGCCATTTACATGATCACCTGAAGAAGAAGAAGAGGAGCCAACCAGCCAGCCGACATTGACAGGCGGAATAAAGGCAATCTTCCATTTAATAACCAATTATCATTGATCAACTGCACGCCCAGCCCCCAGAGAGATCGGTCGCGATCGGGAGGCGGAGGAATACCGAAAGACAGACACAGAAACGGAGACACTGGCCACTGAGCAATATCAATTACGAATTACATCTGATTATCCGCCTGCCTGGGAACTGGCCAGGGCCATGGCCAAGGTGATCGTGGCGGCTCCAGCTCGAGTCCCGATTCCGAATCCCGCCTGGGGGCTGTGTGTGTCTGATTAGCGCATAAACAAGTTAATGCCATTGATGATGACGACGATGCTGAGCCACCTGAACAGACGCCAAGTGCATGGCAATGGGCAGTGTACGTGGTGCAATGTTATTGTGTCTCTCTGCCCAGCTCTTTGGACCTCCAAAACCGCGGCCCAAGATAAATGGGCCAGGCAGAACCAGCTGCCAGGAGAGGCAGAGAAGTCAGAGATAAGGCGGTACCAGCCAACTTCTGGCCTGTTTGGGAGTCTCAGTGCGTTGTCGTCGTCTTCGTCGTCTGTTGACAACTGGCGGCGGCTTCCCGAGCTTTTGATCTTGACGACGCTTTAGCCTCCAGATAAGTGTGTCTGCCTGTTCCCAGTTCCTAGAATATGTATCTCTTTGTCCGTTTACTGTTTGCCCAGCCAACACTCTCGGAGGCGGACAGGGGGCGGCGATATGCTAATGTTGTTTGGTTTTTGCGTTTAGGGTTTGGGCAGCCAAAAGTCAAACATTGTTTGTTGACGTCACCTTGAAATCGTAGGGAAACAAGTGAGACAAAAGCTCAAGACTTACAGCGAAGAATAAATAGAGATGTCAGAGAGATATGTCATGGGTTCAGCGTTTGACATCATAGTTAGGGTTCAATTGCCCTGGCTACTGGGTGGAGTGGTTGTCTAATTTGCATACATAGAAATTATAGTGAAAAGAAAAAAGGGAATATATTATCAACTTTAAAATGTATTTATAAAAGAAATTAGTTAAGGTTTTCCTATAACTTGGCTTCTCTGGAATTTAAAAATAATTTTACAAAAGACTTCTAAATTCCAAGTGTAGTTTTTAGTCCCTCCTCCCCTTTGGCTTGGGGATGCTGTAACTCATTGACATTAACTTGGACAATTGCCTGTGGGAGTGCTGTGCTCGTGCTGTGCTCCCATGCAAATGAGGGGACAATTATGCTGATCAGCGCTAATTGAGGCTCTCCCTCAAAGAGTGACCCACAGAGTGACTAACCCAATTCCGTTTCCCATCTTCTTGTTTATCCACAGGCTGCCCGGCAACGACGAGCTCCCACTGCCAGCGCTGCAATAAGGCGGGCTGCATCAAGTGCCCCATGTACCTGGTAACGGACACCAGGCAATGCGTGGATCAGTGCCCTGCCGACTACCTGGAACAATGGTCAGCGCACACTGAGTTCATGGGACGAGTGTGCGTGCCCACGGGCTACTCTGGTCCGCTGATGGCCGCTCTGGCGGGGCTGTTGGGCGGCTTCCTGGTCTGCCTATCCCTCCTGGCTGTGGCCGTGATGCTGGTGAAAAGGAAGCGTCGACGAAAGTCCGTAAAGCAGAAGCTGATCAACGAAAACACCATGGACCGGGCGGACTTTATGAGGCAGCTGAACGAAATGCGACCGAATGCCGAGTACTTCCTGGCCATGCTGAACGACACCCGCCGGCAAATCCGAAAGCTCTATCTGTCCGGCGAGGTGGCGGCTGCCAACTCCTACCGGCCCATTGTCCGGGACCTGGCCAAGCTGCTCATCCTGCTGAACAGGCCGATTGAGCTGATTCCAGCGCCTCCGCCGGACTGGTCCCGGCTGTATGCCTGGTCTGAGCAAGCTCTGGAGCGGTACAAGCCCCAGGTGGGCCAGCTGATTGACTTCTTCCAGGCCTCTCACGGCGGCGGTAGTGGTCATCACGAGGTGCTTTATGCGGCTCCGGCGAAGAAGAAGCAACTACAGCAGGCCAGCATCTTCCGGCAACAGGTGACGCCGACAGCGACGCCTCAGGGAGTGGGCGAGCTGATGGCCGGGGACAGGAACAGCAGCGCCTCGGCGCAGCAGAAGCTGCACCTCTTCGGATCGCTGATCAGCCTGCACGAGTTCGAGGAGCCGAGGGCCTCGGATCCCTTTGGGAGCAGCTTCAACACGCTGAAGAGCGGGAATCTCATCAGTGATCTCAACGCCAGCTCGCTCTGGCTGGAGGACGAGTTCTACAAGCTGGGCTTTCGACCGCAGGACGAGATCACCACGGAGCTGTAACCGCCGCATCACAAACTCAGACTCAAACTCAAACTCAAAACTTAATGTAATGAAGTATTATCCCGGCTGACGGGGCTAGCGATAGGATCTAGCGCCAGTTCAGTCGGGGGAGGAGCATTTGCGTGCACATTCCGCCAGGCCATCATCATCATCATCATCATCAGCGAGATCGACTCCATTTAGCTGGAGCCGCTAAATGCCCACGCTTAGAGTTAGTTAGATCAGTTAAGCAAGCCAGCTAGTCACGTAAAATCACAACAAACAAAACCATCATCAACACACAACGATGCCGTGCAGGAACAGCCGAAAAAATAAGAAAAAAAGCAAATGGAAATCGCGTGGAAATGAATTTAGTTTTATGGATTTTACAAAAATCGCAACAATCATGTAACGAACAATATTCAATATACAAACTATATAGATACTATTCAGATTAAGAGTAAAGTGTTTATACTTATAGCCATAGCTTAGGTAGACAGAGATTATGGAGCTTAACGAATACGAATTGAATAATAAAATCGTGTGCCTTAAGAGTGTAAAATACGTAACAAGTTGTATAATTTTGCAGGCGCCGCCTTCCGACCAGGTCAGTCGGCGCTAAGGCTCCTCGTACTTCCAGAGTATATCGGGTTCCACCTTGACCACGATCGCGCCATGTCATGTATCCTCCTTAATGGCTTCTATGGCGGCCAGATGCTCGGGCGACTTTTTTCGCTCGTTCACCAGCCGGGACAACTCCCGGGCATCGTAGCCAGTCAGGAGGCGCAGGTCGCAGTCGAATTTGTAGGCAAACCGCTTGCCGGACACCTTGGAGATCATATCCCCATCGTAGTAGTATCGAAGCGCCCTCGACAGCTTCTCGTAGTTCATGGCGGGTTTGTTCTTCTTCTCACCCCACAGACGGGCCACGCGATCCGGGTCGCTCAGCTTAAACTCTCCATCGGTGCCCACCCACTCGATGATGTCCGTGTGCTCGGAGTCGGTGAGGATCTCGAGCAGGAACTGCCACAGCTGCACTTGGCCATTGTTGCCGGAACCTATGGTGGTGTAGTTGGTGGGACTTTGTGGCGCGGGAGAACAACTTTCAGCGGCTGCAAATGGAAAAATGTTATATATACAAGCTTTTTGGTGGGTTTTCGATGAACTCACAATCGGCACTCTTTACACTCTGGTAGGATTTCCTCATGATTCGCTGTTCCAGGGATACAGACCCCCCTGTGGCCGACATAATCCTGGGCTGCTTGGGTTTCCTCAGCTCCTCCGCCTGCTTGTGCACGACGGACACAAAGTTGCACTCCTTGAGCAGCTGCAGGTGCGTCCAGAAGACGTTGCCGGGATCGCGGGGCAGCTTACGAGAGAACTGCTGGTGCGTCATACTGCACAGCTCCTGGCCGTTGATCTGCCAGTCGCTCATGTTGATGTCCTTCAGTTCAAACTGCTTGACGGCCCACTCCAGCCAGTGGGTCACATGGGACTGCGTCCACTCGCTAGCTGCCTCGGGTATCTTCAGACGCGCCTGCTCCCGCTTAAACTTGCTGTCTAGCACCCAATTCAGGACTGGTTTCACTTCCTTGCCGGCCTCCACGCCCTCGTCTTCAGACTCCTCCTTGATCTTTCGTTTCGTGGGCGTTTTGCTGGAGCTTTCACTGGTACTGCTGGCGGTTTCGGGCGGGGTGAGCTGGCCCGTCCCTTCCTCCGAGGCCAGGGCAGCCAGTGCATCTTCCGTGGGTTTCAGAACATCGGCGATGTTGATGCGCTTGCCTATGGTTTGTATTTGCACATTAATCTGTACCAGGCCCTCGCCCTTGACGCACTGATCCACCAGGTTCTTGTGCGCTTCCAGCTGAAAGGGTAAGAGGTTTATATAAGTTAAAAAGACTCCATAGGAGCTCGGTTCACTCACCTCCTGCGCATCCTGCAGCCAAAATGTGTAGTAATTGAGGCTCACGTCGATCTTCTGCTCAACAAGTTTCCTGCGGGTAGAAAGAAGAAGAGATGTGAGATAAACCCCTGCTGGTGTCTAGGAACTGCTAACCTCAGCGTGCTGAGCGGCTCCCGGATATCCATGTGCACTATAATGATGTCATCCGGCTCCGCCTCTGCCTCCACATCGTTACTGTCCTCGTAGATGGTCGTCTCCTGGAAGATTTCGCTGGCAATCACCTCCTCTGAAAATAACAAGCCACACAGTTACAACAGGTGCGTCCCCAATTGGGAATCCCAAGGATCCGGCTTACCCAGAGCCCCGCCCACGCTGAGGCGGCGGATCAGCTCATCCGACAGATCGTTGCTGCTGTCCATTGATTTGTTTCTAACCGCCAAGATTTATTTATTTATTTATTTATTTGTTGAAAAATATTTATCTCGTGGCAGTGTGCCCGCCGGCTATTGTAAAAATCCAAGACAGACGCGAAGATTTCCGCTTCCTTGACTCTGGGCACACTAAAACGCTGAAAGTCGGCCGTACTGCGGGCTGTCCACTTTTGCGTCTATCGCTCCATTTTTATCGAACCCACTCTCATTTGTCAACTGCCATCTCGAACAAACTTTTTTTTAATTCTTTTATGAAAATCGGTGTGCAAATTGAGATTTAAATAGAAGCCGAACCGATACGTGGGAATAATGGTTAATGACTCGGGTCTTTCGACTGTTGATGACTTGGAGAAAAAGCTGAACACGGCCAAGCAGTCCCTGGTTACCCTCAATGAGAATATCCGCCGCATATCTGGCCGCGTCCATGTTCACACGAAGGATGCCCCCCATGCCCAGCAAAGGTAATGCTCCCAATTGGAGATTGCTCATCCAATTAATGGTATTTCTGCTGCCTTTTTTAGGACGGATAAGTTCAAATACAACCAGGATGGGAAGAAGAACAACAGTGACAGCAACGGCGGCGACAACAGGCAGTTCATGCGGAACGGTCCCGGGAACGGCCCCTTCAACAACAAGCGCCGCATCTACGACTCCAAGTCTGCGACTCCCCGGTTTCCCATCGAGGAGAACGACGGTCGTCCGCCAAGGATAAACTCTCGGGTCATTCGGGAACTTCCATCCAAAAAGGAGGTAGTCGAGGCGCAGGGAACAGATTCCGAGTCGCGGGCACGAAATCGCCGCATGTTCGGGTCGCTGCTGGGCACATTGCAGAAGTTCTGCCAGGAGGAGTCGCGTCTGAAGAGCAAGGAGGACAAGAAGGCCGAGATAGAGAAGAAAGTGGAGAAGCAGGAACTGCAGGAAAGAGCGCAGCTCAGGAAGGAGCGCGAGTCGCTGTTCTTGAATAGAAAACAGAAGCAATTCGAGATCCGGAGATTGGAATACAAAATGGCCCGGCTGAAGGACTTCAAGAGCTGGGAAGCAACCATGATATATTCCAAAAATAATATAAGAACCATAACTAAGCCCCATCTCTTCTATCGGCCAAAAGCGCACTCTGCGATAACGGAGAAATTGATGAGTAAAAGCAAAAGTGATGCCGACATCTTCATAGAGTGCCGGCGCGAAGAACTGGAGGCCGAGCTCAGGAACTTGGAAAGCATGAGCTTTATGAAGATGGAAAGCGGGGATAGCAGCATGATGGACCACAGCTTCTACGATGAACCCGACGATGATGATGAGCTGTTGGGAAGTGGGCCCAATCGATAAGTGTAAGTAAGCCTAAGTCAACCTAAACGAGGTCAAAAGAACGACTTGGTGTGGTCACAAGTGGAGTTAAGTGGTGCCTTTGATTAATTTCACGACCCATCACGTTTCAGCAATTAGTTTGGTTTTCAAAAAGTTTCTCCCAAATTTAGATAATTGTAAGAAACGCTTGGATTTATAGTAAACACTTCAATTAGCCGAGTATCATTCGTATTAATGGGTGAATCTTTTTACATGGGATTTGCCCTATAGAATCTTTCATAACAAACAGATTACAGACACTTCTAGTTAACACTTTTATATGTTAATTTAATGTAATCATTCATCTTGTTTAAATTAAAGTCAACATAATCGCTTATGTTTCAATATCCCATATTATGTTTTCATTACAGCTTTATTGTGTGAAGTTCGTAAAAAAACAATGATGCTATTATAGGAATAAAAGATTTAAACAAATTGGAATTCATAAAATAAACCCTTCGAAAATGTTGTTTTACTCGGATGAAGCCAGTGTTAATACTAATTTAAAGGTTTCTGAAAATTTCTTTGTACGATGAATTCAAAGATAATTAAATCTTGAAAATGATCTTGGTTTTTCAGATGTTTTAAAGTTATAAATAATATATAATTTATGAATTGGTAAGTTCACTTAACAATATCGAACATTTTTGTATTTTAACAACTGGCCACAAAAAGTCTTAATTTTTACCTCTGGAAAAATATATATTTATATTTAAAATTTTTAAATATATTTAATTCTATTTAAGAAAACCGTGTGACCGTTCTATAGAAAACCCATAACCCTTCTTTTTTCGTTGGTATTTTCTCTAAAGAAACGAGCAAAAGTCGTTTGTTATGGTTCTTCTTCTTCCCGAAAACCAAATAATAATAAAAGCGAATTTTAGACTTTAATGCCTATTATAACATGGCCCATAAGGAGATGACGATCCACAGATACTACAGCCGGAAAGCCAAATATGCCGGTTACGCGGAGGCGGATCTGGAGCTGTGCATTAGGCACTGCGGCGGGGACGTGGTGCGCATTGAATTGGTGAACCGGCTGCATGGCACCGAGCTTCGGAGGCAGTTACGCAGGTTACTGCTTCTAGTGTTCCTGGCCACCGCCTACTTTGTGGGAGTTTGCGGTCTTTGGAGCCGGAACATTGGTCTCTGGCAGCCCCGCATTATTTATCCCCTTGTTACCTGGGCTTTGGTAGCAATTCTAATGCTCCGCTCCACTCTAAACCTGGTGCACATTGAGCGGCTCTTTTACAGCTGGGACATGGCGTTGCAAACGGAGACGGTGCGATCATTCGGGAGGCAATCGGTGCTCTGCGTCCAGCGGGGGCAGATCCATGACATAGTGCTGAACGAAGTAATAGAAGATGTGAGTAACAAGTTGAGTTTCTATTTATAAACTCATTCTATTAATAGTTTTTTATATTTAATTTTCCTTTCCTTTACAGTTGGATGTGAAGTACATGTTAATTTTACGGACTAAAGGAAGTCTGTTCAAGAAGAGTCCTGTAATACCATTATTCAACGTAAGTTCCTTCGTCTCTTACACATGTATTTCTTAACCAATAATTATATTCATCTTCCAGAGCCAATCCCCCTCGTTCGAGTGCCTCCAGCACATCCATAGGGTGCTACATGGTTACTGGCTGAATAGTACCAAGGATCGATCGGAACAGTCCTACAACCAGGACAAGTTAGCCGTGGTGGCCTCGTAGACTTCTTCCAATTTGCTGAGCTTTTGATGAAAGTATTAATCCATTTTAAGCGATTATTTCTTAATAAACCAAACTAACCTGAAACATGGGTGTGTAATCTTCCGGCTTAACGGAGAGTGGCGGTATCTTGGGAACGTGTAGCTCTGTATCTAAAATGTTGAATTCGCTATTTACCTGCAAAAGAATTTTTAGTTGGCTTTACATTTAATTTATAATGTATGCCTGATAAACCTACCAAGTTGTTTAGCTCTGTTGTGTAGTGTTTTTTAACGATTTTGCGATAGAGGTCCATGTAGGTATCCTTGTGGCTGTTGTAAGATTGCAGGATGTCGCGCAGCTCAAGCACTTGCTGTACGGTTAAATCTAAAACACACTTGATTTAATAAATAAAATAATTATTCAATTTATGCCGCTTACCTGGCATGGCGTCGTTTTTTGTTTTGAAGTAGTGTTGAACAACGCTTGCACTTAAAGTATACAGTGGAAACCCGTTTTCATCGACTGCGTTCAAAAAGGAACAAATATTTTAAAGTTGAATACTTTTACAAACCGAACCTTCAAAAAGAAAAGTGTCGATATTGACAATAGATTATACAAATATTCAACAATTCAAACGCCAAGGAAACACCCGAAATATCTCTTTTAGTGGGTGCGTACTGTTTATCGACTCTTTGCCAGTGTTGCACAATACCCGCATTGGCCTGACGTAATTAGCGAGTAACGGCGTATATTTTGTTTATGTGTGCCCGTGCCCGCCCCTCCGCCCCCTCGTCGAAAGGAATCTGCTGCGTCTCCGATGACCACTTCTAGCTCCGGAAACTGACAGCTCCGCCGCCTGCCCGATACCCTCCTCCCGCCCCGATGTGAATCATCTGTTGCTGATCTCACAAATCGCGGCCGAAATCAACAAAAGTGAGTTTTCTCTCTCACCGGAGCAGTTTCGTCATATGGGCGTGCCCCCACATGGACATGGAGCTGCTCTGCTGGTTGCCATATAAGCACTAATCCAGTTGTTCGCTTCCGCCGGCAGTTCCTCGTGTTTCTGGGCCCCCAAAATGAACCGCTCAGAACCGATTCCCATTCGGCGAGATCGCTCCTTCGACAGCGTTCTCAACCGTCTGCTACGTATGCGTTCCCAGAACCATGAAAGCTTCCGTGCTGCCATGTACAACTTTCTGATCGCCGCCGGCGTGGGAGCCTTTGTAGCCGTCTGCTTCATTCTGGGACCCTTTGTGCGCCCGCTTCTCTGGGCCTTCCTCATGGGCGCGGTCCTCTTCCCATTCAAGCGGCGGCTGGCGGAGAGCGTGAATAACTGGTTCCAGCGCCTGGAGGAGCGTGACTGTAACGTGTTGGTCTCTATTTGCCTTTCGCCATTGGAGGCCACGGAGCACTGCGGTCGGCTGCTGATCGGATGGCTTTGCGAGCACTGGCAGTTGCTCCTGGCCGGATGCGGAGTGGCCGGGTGCATTAAGCTGCTGGTGCTATACGCTCCAAAGGGTTTCCTGCTGGCCCTGTGGCACTGGATAACCTTCTCGCACGGGCTGTTTGTTCAAATAATTGGATACCTCAACGTCTATGTGGTATGTGTTCTACGACGTTGATTTCCTTGTAAATTAATCATCAATATCCCACAGCTAATCGCCCTGGTGCTGGTCTATCTAACGTGCGTTCATTTCTTTTGGAAGCCGGAGAACAGTGCTCACTTTGTCATTGCTGGACAGTCAATGTGGATTGCGATTGCTGGCTATCTGAGCAGCTTTTTGGGTGCCCTCCAGGTGCCCGTTTTCCTCCTAGTCATGGCGTATGTCACTGCATCTACGGCATACCATCTTCAAACAAGGGAAGAGTCTGGATCCTACCTAGATCGCCTGCAAAAATTGTTCGACAAAAACGATTTCGAACGTTCCTTGAGTAACTTTAGCATTTGTGGGAAGCTAGGTAGCGAGCCCCCACTTAGTCCACAGTCGGAGGTGGAGGACATTTCGCTTAGTGACACCGTCGACTCTACGGATACGTTTGATGCGAAGAACGGAGCCGAGATTGAGGGCCACCAGAGTGATACATTCTTTAAACTTTTGTTTTACGCCTGCCTGGGCACGTTCCTGTATCGCAACGTTTGGATGTTCATCCTGGCAGCCATTCCCATTCTGCTTCACCTGATTTACACGGTGGGCGTTTATACGGGGATCACCCAGTTTGCCTGCAGCAAGATCAACGAAGTATACCAGGCGCTGCGGGTGAGTAGATTTTACTATTAAAAGTTCATAATGGATTTTAACATCGATTTTTGTGACAGTCGTGGGCTATCGAACATCATTCCGCCGTGCTGCCGCTGTGCCTTCCTGGTGTCCTGGAGCTGAACTACAAGATCAATACGATCGTGCGAGATTCACTGAAGTCCTCTGTGGAGTCGGTCACTTCTATTCTCATGATCATTCTCATGCTGCTCATCATAGTGTTCCTAAGCGTATTCTTCTGCGTGAACATCTACTCGGAGACGATCGAGGTGGCCTATTTGGGCAAGGATCTAATTAACAAGACGATCACAGATCGGCCTGAGCTAATTGATATCTTGCCCGCCAACATGCAGGCGTCCATTGATGATGCGCTAGATAATGCGCACCATTATGGTCGCCGTAAGATCGAGACATATATTGACGACTGGCTGGCGGACGCGGACAAGGTGCACGCCACTAAGCTGAAGGAGCAGATCCTCGATGTCTGGGATAGGCTCATTCAGTACTGGATTGATTTCAGCAAGGCGGATACCTCTTACGGTCCACGGGTTCCAACGGACGCCCTGAAGAGCACCTTTGGCGAGATCGTCGACAATCCAGGTATGTTGATTTAACTTAATTTTCTGTGGCTTCTTTTTATCTTTTTCATTTGTCCCGTATTTATTATTAACCTTTTGAGTTGTTCCTTTGGGGGGCTTGCAAGGGGTGTTGGGCCGTTATTGAGCTATTGCTCGCTTCATCCATCCCTTAACCTTCGTTTGCGTCAACGATCTAACTCATTCTGTGTTGCATCTGCTAACCAATGGCCGTTTATTTAACCAAGGACATTTTAAAGAGCTAGTTTTAGTGGCGAAACAGGGCATCATCGGCTGGGCGCAGAGCAACACGCAGACGATACTGGAGGTTGCCGAATCCTTGTGGCATATAATACGCACCAATCTGTCGATGATTATGGGCGTGACTGGCGAAATTCTGTCTCTGGTGCTTTCCGGCGGACAGGCGTGCATTGAGTTTATTTTAGATATGGTAATAATAATACTATTCCTCCTTTATTATTAGGGTTTCTTTAGTTATTTAGTAAATCCTTTTTTTATCCTCTTCTTAGATTGTCTTCTTTACGGCCCTTTTCTATCTGCTTTCGAGCAGCCAGGAGAAGTATGCTCCGCTGCAGATTACCAAGTACTTGGGGTACTCCAGTTCGGGCATCAAGATCGCCGATGCCCTTGAGAACTCCATTACGGTGGTCCTAGTCTCAATGTTCAAGTGTTCGACGTTTACCGGCCTGTTCACTTGGCTGGTGCACACGGTTTTTGGAGCACGGATAGTTTTCCTGCCGTCCGCTTTGGCTGCCATGCTGGCAGCGGCTCCCTTCTTGGGAAGCTATTGGTGCGCCGTTCCTGCTTTCCTAGAGCTCTGGCTAGCCCAGGATCGCTTCTATGCCGGACTGATACTATTCCTGCTGCAGTTCTTTGTGCCGTCATCTTTTGAGACGGCCATATATGCGGACCTCAAGGGGTGAGTGTTTAACATAAAGAAAAGAATCAATTATTTTATGAATTTATTTTTACATTATTTTATTAGTGGTGGCCATCCCTACTTGAATGGCCTGGCCATCGCCGGCGGTATGTACTGGATCGGCTGGCAGGGTGCCATTTTCGGACCACTGATGCTTTGCTTTTTCATTGGCCTCTTTGAGGTGGCCACTTTGGCGATGCGCAGCCATCAAGAAACCAGGTAACTTTTAGGCTTAAGAACGTTATTTCCAAAAAGTTTGTTTGATTTGCATGCCAAGTATGAATTCTATCCGTCTTGTGCGGCTCGAGGATTGAAGTGAGTGTTTATCCGATTTGTTTAGCTTCCTTCAAGTTGATTTCCTACAATTTCTTGTTCCCAAATTAATAAGGATGCCTTTGCCTGCATTTCAGGAACAGCACAGATGAGGAAACGCGGACCACGTGAGTTTGGCATGGAACAGCAACTACGAATTTCATTTTTAATACTCGACGAAACTAACAAAAGCTGTGCGACAATCAAATTAAGATTGGCCCCAATAATTGTACTATAGTTCTAGGATGGCGAATGATTTGGCTATCCCGTTGATCGTTTCGCAGTTACTAATGTTTATCGGCTTTTTAATTCGTATCTTTATTATTTTTGAACTAAATTTACTAAGTATTCAGGATTCCGTCTCGTTAATATCTCAGTTATCGACCTTAAATATACATATGTATATATTTAATACAATGTGTACCTCGAATTGTTGGTAGTTGCAAAAAAACACTTTGAAGCTGTAAAGTACCGACTTTCTCGCTCGCTACTAATTGCTTAATGTAAACTTTGTGATTTGTTTAAGCTTAGATTACCAGAAATGTGTTGCAAATATAAATCTTAATACTAACTGTAAACGGTGCTGTCTTGAAAGATTTTCTTAATATGCTAGTTTTCTTCCAGCTTACCCGTCAACGAATCACGAATTAACGACATCCCAGATGCAAAGGAAAAACCAGTAAAAACGAACGACGAAAAGTCAATGACCGGGGGAAAACCTGTTGAGCTGAAAATTGTAACAAAAACCAAAACCTTTCACCTGTTGAATGCCAAAGAAAACCAATAAATAATTGAATTTTTATACCTTTATAGAGTGGCAAAAGAGCATAAGAAATGCAGTGTATTTGTAGTGCAAAATAACAATATAATTTAAGTATATTAAATACTTATTCGAACAAATGTTCTTCCATATTCTGGTTGTAAAAATGAGTATAAGCACGAAATATTCGAATGTCTGTTTAGTTGGTATATTGGTTCTTAAAGGTGAACTCCGGATGCCTCTCCACGCTGCAAGAAAAATAACAATTTAAAATAAAGAATTTAAATTATCAACAACTTTTCTCACCCGTGGAAGAAGGCAAAGTCACAGACGCGTATATTCTTATCCAGGCTGGACAACTTGGCCACCTCCTCTGCGGTCAGTTCGAAATCAAAGACATCCAGATTCTGCTTGAGGCGAGCGGGGTTCGTGCTTTTGGGAATGGCCGACACACCGGTGTCGATGATCCAGCGGATTAGCACCTGGGCTGGTGTCTTCTTATGAGCGGCGGCTATTTCCTTGACCTCCGGTATGTCCATCAGGTCGGGAATATCCCTGACAATACCGGCACCGGCATTGAACTTGGCAATACCCTTGGAGCCCAGCGGGGAGTAGGCGGTGACTGTCACATTCTCGGACTTGCAGAAGTCCACCAGATCACGTTGCTGCAGATAGACATGGTGCTCGATCTGGTTGTTGGCCGGCCTAATCTTGCAGTTCTTCAGCAGACGGGCCACCTGATCCTTACTAAAGTTCGATACGCCAATGGACTTGGTCAGACCCTTTTCCACCAGTGATTCCATTACTGCCCAGATGGCGGCATGGTTGGTGGTCACATCTACCTCCATCAGGCCATCCTTGTCCAGCTTGAAGCTGCCATCCTCATTAATGTTGATGGTAAAGGGGGTATGGATCAAGTAAAGATCCACATAGTCCAGCTGCAGATCAGCCAAGGACTTCCTGATGGTGGGCTCCACCTCATGAGGGCGATTGGCTACAGAGAAAAGTTTAAGATATGTTAGTAATCAAAATTCTTTTGTGATTTTTATTATAACACTCAGCTTATAATTAGTAAGTGAGATTTATTTTCTTTTATTGCCCACAATAACACTTTAAACCCCATTGTGGCCAATAAATCCATAAAGATTATATTTTTACAATCAGAATCTGATTTATTCCCATCCATCTTGGCAACATATTAATAAGAAGTGCGTGTGAAAATATGTAATTAGTCTTAGTTGAAGAAAAGAATTCAGAAATATAATATGCTTTAATCTTATCTTATCAAAATGTTCTAAAATGTTGTGAATATTGTGAAATCTGTTTAAAATATTTATACATGTTTTTTCTCTACAGAAATTTAAAATCTTTTAAACTCCAATTTTTTTAGATATAAATACATATTTTATTTTTTATTTATAGATTATATATATTACTCACAAACTGGTGGCACCTTGGTCACAATAAACAATTCCTCGCGCTTCACCTTTCCGGCATCCAGCCATCGCTTGAGGACTCGTCCAATGGCTTGCTCATTGCCATAAACTGGAGCCGTGTCTATATGGCGATATCCCGCCTCCAGGGCGGCGTCGATGGCGGTTTCAATTTCCTCATCGGATGCCTGAAGTGATGTTATGAAATAATGTGGCTTTAGTGGTTTCCAATATCTATGAATAATCTAAAGATTCAAGTGTCTACACTGCTGGGAGAGGCAGGTCCCCCAACCTGCAGATTGAACACCTGCAGCTTCTAGGTTCTCCTCAGAGAAAGTCTAACCCACTAACCCAGCCATGTAACATAGGAATAAATGAAGGTTTATTGTTTATTTTTGAAAACCGGTCTTTGGTCAGGAGAACAACCAACCAGATTCTGTTGACTGCAACGGAATCTCCAATATTCTTGAATGACGTGTCAGATTTGTTTTGAGGTCGTTCATTAGTTATAATAATAATAGTACAGGTACCATTATAATTTAAATATTCGTGCTTACACGATGTATAGTTATATGTTCGATAAGTATGTGGCACCAAATAGATATATTAAATTACCTGCCATGTGCCAATGCCAATCACGGGCATCTTCTCGCCATTGTTGAAAGTTAAGAACTTGTTGCCAGCCATTTTAATTCACGTTTTTTTTTTTTATAAATAGACACAAAAACAGATAAAACACAGAAGCTTAAACAGAACCTGTTGCTTCTACTATTGGAGTGGGAATAAAATAATCTCCACCCAATTCACATTACCGGCCCCCTGGAGCATTCAAACATACGGTCATATTATTCGATATATTATCAGTTTATTCATTTTATTCAAAAACTCTGTGCCTTTAGCGATTAAAAGATTTATGATTATTATTGTACAAAAAAAGAAATTAAAATTATTAATAAATTATTTTAATAACTATTGTATTTTTACCAGGATAGCGCTAGTCTTCTTCCTTAATATCCATTCCAGAATACAACGATGCCGTTATTTAGTTCAAGCATTACATATTTTATCACAATATAAGGACAAATTTATAGTTCAAAGGTGTTAAAAATAAAAGGACTACTCCACCACAATTGTAAAGTTTTCATAGGTAAATTGCGGCCGTTCAGTGGTTTCGCCAAAGACCACTTTGTCGATTCTGCTGGTTGGGCTTCCGGTGTATTTTAACCAAAGGCGCCTGTAGCGAAAATATAATAATAATTTTTAAAGTCAGCTGGGTATCATACTATGGAAGCAACTAACATTTCCTCGAAGGAACTATTATGCCCCTCAATTTCACCCTTTACCGTGCTCGTCTTTGTGTTTGAGCACCAGCCGCGAACACCAAGCTTCTGGGCCCTTCTCAAGGTGTACTTTTATATAGAAGGAAGTAGGAATTGCCATTAAACATTACCGTTAAAGATATATTTACATACTTACCATGCGAAAAGAAACGCCTGAAAGGGATACAAGTTACTAGGGATATAATATTATTATTATTATTGTTATTACCTTGCACTATCCCAAAAACTTCAAACAGGCAGCTGAACACCGGTTCATCGCTGGCTAACCCCAAGTTCACAGTCATCCTTGAATTTCGGTCTGCCTCATCGGGATCCTCATCCTGCTCCTCATTTTCAATAGCGTTTGATGTTGACGCTGGGGTTACTCTCAACTTTTTTTGTTTGTTTGTCTGAGTTCCACGTTCAGAAGACATGATAAACTACAAGTATATTAATATTTTTTGCTCATCGAATTTTGTAGAACGGCCAACTGTCTAATTTTTTAAAAATTTCTCCTGAAAAGATTTTCAAATATTTCTGTCGGGTTTTCCAGCCCTGGAGACGATTTTCCTATCGATAAGTATTTTAGTATTGTATATTTCACCTGACGAGACCTGGCCACACTGAAACAAAAACAATAACTGGAGACTGGCCGCGGGTTTGTGGAAAACAAAACAAAGGATAAATATTTGATCGCACCATGCATACCGTGTACGCACTGCTCAAGAACAAGCTGAGCGATGTGCATCCGCTGCACAACATCGATCTGGACAGGGATGTCGCCTACTTGAAGGCTTTGGTGACCAAGGAGCTGCAATTGCAGTTTGACGCCAATGAACTGGGTGAGTGAACCAACGAAAGCGGCCAATTCAGCGGCGCCCATTGTTCCCATTGTGCTAAGTCATCTGCTGCGCACTTGCAGAGATCATCCATCACGGGAGAGTGCTGGAGGATGCGGACACCCTCAGCCGTTCGCTACAGCCCAATGCCGTGATTCATTGCTTTCGGAAGACCAAACGATATACGCCATATGTGCCACCAGTGGGCTCCGAGATCAACACAAAGCACATCCAGGAGCTGTTCTCGCTGACGTCGCACCTCCAGATTAGCGTCACTTCGCGTTTTAACATCCTGCAGAAGATACTGGCGGAGTATCCGGAATTCAGGCGCAATCTGGGCGCCCAGGCCTTGATCCGGGATTCGGTGCTGTTCAATATGCTGCACGAGCCCGAGGTGGTCCAAAATCTGGTCCGCGACTATCCGCTCATCTGCGAGGCTGCTCCATATATAGTGGACACCATTCGCAAGGAATTGGCCAGGAACAGCTCAGCCACACAGTGTAAGTACGCCACAATTGACCCTGGATGAAATCCTTGAAATAATCTCTTTCCGAAATCCAGTCCAGGAACAAGCTGCCTCAGAATCAACCACTTCATCGGAGGAGGAGAACTCGCTCGGTGCCGGAAGCAGTAGCAGCGGCGGGAGTGGCGGCACCGCTGTGGCAGCAGCTGCGGCTGCCAACCGACGCGATGAGATGGCAAACATTCGACAGATTAGCCGCCAGCAGCTGGCGAATGCCTTGGCCAATGTGACCTCGTTTAATTCTCTTTCGAACATAGCCCAACGAAATGCAGATGAGGCACTACATGGCGATGAGAGACCGAGGACCAGTACCTCGGCTCCACTGGTGGGAACCGGGTCTGGTCCAGGAACCGGAGCCGCAAGCAGCAGCGGAGCCAGCGGCACTAGTTCCATCTCTTCGGAGCTGTTTCGCAATGAGCTGGCCCGAGCGTTTCAATCTCTATCGCAACAGCAACCAGCGGTGGAAAGTATGGAGGTAGAGTCCGGAGGAGGAGCAGCCGCCGCTGCCGCCGGCGCAGCAGCAACACCTTCCGAAGATGTGGATGACGATGATGATGGTGATGGGGGTGACGACAGCGATGTGTTGCCGCGCTGCTATCGCCGTCATCGCTTTACCGAACAACTGCGCACCATGGCCGCCATGGGCTTCATCAATCACACCCAGAACGTCAACTATCTGACCTTGGCAGATGGCAACGTGGAGCACGCCATTAACTTGCTGATGCTGGGCATGAACTAAAGAGGGTATCGGGACTAGCTAACCACCTGAACTGTGCTTACTACACTGACTTATATATTTATTCTGCTGCTGCTGCTGCGTTTGAGGGTTCTGAAGCATTCAACTCCCAACAAAAGCAAGGAATATCTCACGAGAACTTATAATAATGATTAAAAATACATTTAGAGGAGCCACCATCAAGAGAAGCAGCTGGGTGTTGCGGGAGTACTGCTGGGGGGTAAAAGATGGCCATATCAAAAGGTTGCCTTGGAATTGAACTAGTTAATTAAATAGTCTAGCGCCTTGTCCTTATTATTGTCGAACTTGAGCAGCGCCGCCGAGATTTTCGATTCGTCAAAGCCCAGGTCCATGAGCTCTCCCAGCGGTATCAGGTGTTCGATGATCTGTCGGCGGTATAATTTCCCAATTTAAATTCTGTTAAATTCCCAACAAATGAAAAAAACTCACCTTCTTATCATCGATGCCACACAGGCCAACCACCTTGGCCACCCGCTCCAGGGGGAAGCCCATGGTGCTGATGCGATGCGCCAGCTTTTGCGCCGGTCCAGCCAGCTCCCTGAATGAGTTTCTGTCTGTGGATACCATCTCTGTCTTTGGGTGCTGTTGTTCCTGTTGCTGCTGCTGCTCCTCCCCATTGTGGCTGTGCAGGCGGGTGCGGCGTTTCTCTGCCTGTTGCAGTTCTGTCTTAAGCTCGCGCAGAATGTCCGGCACACTCCTCGACTTGGTGGCTACCTCGTCCTCCGCTTGGCTGACTGCCAGAATGGAGTAAGGCGCTGGAGGTGACATCAAGTGATTGGGTGGTGGTGTGCCAAATCCATTGACATAGTAGTTGTTCTGGTAAAGTTGAGGCTGCTGCGTAGAGTAGAAGGTTGGGCCACTATTATAGCCATGCATGTGGTAAGCCTGCAATTAAAAATAGTTATTTATTTTATATTTACTTTCTAGAAGTCTCTTCAACCTTTTTAAAATAAATAAAAACTCTACTCTCTGCCATTTTATTTTCTTGTTTATTATAATATATTTAACGTAAATTAATGCGACGCAACAAATACAGAAATATATTAGCTAGATATCGTTTGTTTTCGCAAGACAAACAATAACAGTTTTTCTTTTTAAATAGAAAGTAAACAGCTGGCAAGGCCAGTTTCATGTTAAATGTAGGGATCAACGCCCCTCAGTAATGGCCCACCTGGAAGTGCTCCGGCTGCTGCTGCTGTGGGGAAGCGCTGTACATGGACGTGGGGTATTGAGGCGGCGTGGGTGGAATGTTTTTGGGCTCGCTCCTGCCCTCATCGTCATCACAGTGAACATGGAAATTGACGCTGTCCAGCGTCGCTTTGGTCTCCGCCAGCGTCGTCATCGTCAGTTCCACAGGAGCTGGCATCTCCTGTTTGGGCGGCTCCGACTCCTTCTGCGCCTGCTGCTGCCGCAGTTCTCGTTGGTTCTCCTCCAGCTGGGTCTGGTGCAGCACCTGGGCGAGTATATCCAGATCATTGATAGTCTTCAGCTCGATGTTGTCGAAGGGCGTAGAGTTCATGTTGTACTCGAAGTCCGCATAGTTGAGGGAGCTGTTCCGCTTGTGCAGCGTCTGGGGACTGGCCACCGGGGTCGTGCTTAAGATGGTGGGCTGCAAGATGTTGTGGAAGTTGTTGCACACGCTTATTGACTTTGGTTCGTGCGAGTCGCGTGACTCAGTGAGCTGAGGTTGCTGCTTCTCCAACTCCTCCTCCTCCGTCTTCCCCACCCGCTCTGCCTCCGTCTCCGTCTCCTCCCCGTCCGATGACAAATCGTCAGTACTTGGGTAATCGACGGCTCCGAGCATCTCCTTCTGCTTGGCCTCCAGCGCCCGTTGGCGTTGCTCCTTGCGTCGCTCCTGGCGCCTGGTGCGCTCCTCGCGCTGCTGCTTACGCAGCTGGCGCCAGCGTTGCGCCTGAGTCACAACTGCTCGCTCCAGCTGGCCATCGTACTGGTAGTCAGGGTGATCCGTGTAGAAATCCTCCCGAAACTGTGCCAGGCGGTTCAGGGTCGCCTGGGGCAGCTGGTAGACGGCTGGTGGGGGTTTATAGCGCTCCACTATCTTGACCGGGACATCGTCCATGTTACGCTAGCGCATTCACCGCGAATTTTGTTAATTAAGTTGCCCAACTCTGCTACTACGCGTTTTTCTCTCTGTTCTCTTTTGTTGTTGCCCCCGAGCAGCAGCGATAGGCGATAGACCGTTATCGATTCCGTGAAGGTGTTCAGGTTTGGCATGGAATACTCACAGAAGGTTTTGTGATGTTCATAAATATATTTACATGCTATATTTATAATTCAGTATTCCAGTTATCAAGCTTATTATACCCTTGCAGGGTATTATATTTTAAGTCAGAAGTTTGCAACGCAGTGAAGGAGACGTTTCCGACTCTATAAGGTATATATATTCTTGATCAGCATCAACAACCGAGTCGATCTAGCCATGTCCGTCTGTCCGTCCGTCTGTCCGTTTCTACGCAAACTAGTCCCTCAGTTTTAAAGCTATCTGAATGAAACTTTGCATATAGTCTTCTATATATTCTCACTGCTATATATGTCGGAACGGGCCGGATCGGACGATTATATCATATAGCTGCCATACAAATGTTCGATATATTTTTAGAAAAAAAATTATAACTTTGCTGTTTTGATGATGCAGATGAGCATCACTGATGCAGATGAGCATCAATGATGCAGATGGGCATCACTGATGCAGATGAGCATCACTGATGCAAGTGAGCAAAACTTTTCATTCAAATTGGCCGCTTTCCAAACTGGGGTAACAGGCGAACAGAAATCAGCAGCAAGCAACTGAAAACTGGTATAAACTGTTCTAAAAACTTTTGGGCAAAAATAATAATTGGTATAAACTGTTATATTTCATTGTATGCATTTATACCTATTTGTTGCCGACAACAACAGCTTTATGGCAACAACAACCTTTTTACAACAACATCCCTACAGCAGCCCATCCAAATTTCCGAACATTTCCATGCAAATTGCCCGTTTCCCAAATTGGGGAAACAGGCGAACAGAAATCAGCAGCAAGCAGCTGAAAACTGGTATAAACTGTTATAAAAAGTCCAAGTTTCGAACCATGGATCTTGGAGTAAGCGAAGACTCAAACCAGATGTGACCATATTGTAAATTTTTTGGCTAAAATGTTGCCTTAATGCACCTGGGCACACTGAAACTGACTTTGCATCAGTGATGCTCATCTGCATCAGTGATGCTCATCTAGCTATTTTGCAATATTGGGAGGCAATATATCAGGCTTAATAGCAGTGATGCTCATCTAGCTATATTTCTTTATTGGGACAAAATAGATAGATGAGCATCACTGATGCAAAGTCTTATTTAATAGCCTCCCAATATTGCAATATAGCCAGATGAGCATCACTGCCATTAAGCCCGATTTTATAGCCTCCCACTATTGCAATATAGCTAGATGAGCATCACTGATGGAGATGAGCATCACTGATGCAAAGTCAGTTTCAGTGTGCCCAGGTGCATTAAGGCAACATTTTAGCCAAAAAATTTACAATATGGTCACATCTGGTTTGAGTCTTCGCTTACTCCAAGATCCATGGTTCGAAACTTGGACTTTTTATAACAGTTTATACCAGTTTTCAGCTGCTTGCTGCTGATTTCTGTTCGCCTGTTACCCCAATTTGGGAAACGGGCAATTTGCATGGAAATGTTCGGAAATTTGGATGGGCTGCTGTAGGGATGTTGTTGTAAAAAGGTTGTTGTTGCCATAAGCTGTTGTTGTCGGCAACAAATAGGTATAAATGCATACAATGAAATATAACAGTTTATACCAATTATTATTTTTGCCCAAAAGTTTTTATAACAGTTTATACCAGTTTTCAGTTGCTTGCTGCTGGTTTCTGTTTGCCTGTTACCCCAGTTTGGAAAGCGGCCAAATTTTAGAAATTTTGCTCACTTGCATCAGTGATGCTCATGTGCATCAGTGATGCTCATTTGGCTATATTTTGCAATATTGGGGGGCAATAAAATCGGGCTATATGGCAGTGATGCTCATCTAGCTATTTTGCCATATTGGGAGGCTATAAAATCAGGCTTAACGGCAGTGATGCGCATTTAGCTATTTTGTATTATTGGGAGAAAATGGCATTTCACTAACTGCCAGTAATGCTCATCTAGCTATTTTGCATTAAAATTCCATCCCACTTACTACCAGTGATGCTCATTTCATTGTTCTTATATAGGAAAAATAAAATAAAACAAAATAATATAAAATAATGTATTTATTTATCCCTGATTTCTGATCCCTATTCCTCCATTCCCATCCCTTATCCACCATCTTTTTGCGTGTGTCGTTGGTCCTTTCCCTTGGTTCTTGTCCAGGGTGGGTGTCAGGTCTACTGATACTGATGACTAGGAGCGATGGCGATGGCAATGACGATGGAAAGTCTGTAATTGAACAGAGAAAAATAGCAAATTAAAAACTAAAAAAGGCATAAATCTGTTAAAAATGCCTTAATTTGCATTCGGAAAGCGGCGTTATGTTAGTTTTTATAAGGTTAACAAATCTGCATACTTAGTTAGAAATTGAAAATTTTATGAAATTTTGAGAATTTTAATGATGTAACCCCTTATAAAATTTTGAAAAAATTGATTAAAAAATTTTTTTCCTCCGGACTTAGCCAGAAAGATGCGCCTGCTAATGCTGATCAAGAATATATATGGTTTATGGGGTCGGAAATGACTCCTTCAATGCGTAATGAGCTTCGGACTGGAAATAAAATACGCTGCCAGGGTATAAAAATTATAGTTTCGTTGTTTTTCAACGTATGTTTATCTACTCTCAGATATAAGCTTTTTTTATTATTCTAGAACTTTGGTATAAATTTTATAAAAGAAGCGATCGGTAAATGTATAAAATATGTAAAGCTGGGAATGTACAACTGAAACTGTCAAACTGTAAACATAATAAGTATAGGTAAAATTTAATGAAACTCTGTTTTGTGAGTGTTTTCAGCATTTAAATCTATAATATAAACATCAAAACCAATCTGCAAGGGTATACAAACTTCGGCGTGCCGAAGTTAGCTTCCTTTCTTGTTTAGTAGTAAAATTTATTCGGAAATTGCAAGGTCAATTAATTTATTAATCAAGTTATCGATAGTTCTTATCGTCTTAGACCCATCCCTAATACGGAACTGCACTCCGGAAAACAAAACAAACAAATTCCGGCGCGATGGGCGATGTGGAGGAGGTGAATTTCAGGCTGAACCACCACCAGGTGCTGGACGAAATCTCGGACCTACTGCACAGTACCGCTGAGCCAAGCGGAGGCAACGCTCTGCTGCTGAACCAAGAGATGCAGCGCCGCCTGAAGCAAGTCCGGGAGAAGATCCTAGAACTTCTGAAAACTGTAAAGGCACGGTACGCCCGGAACGAGGAGATCCTAGTGCGCCGCCTGAAGTCGCGCTCACATTTTGGTACGGGACCACTCAACACCAGCGGGGCGATCCTGCGTAAGGGTACCTTCCTCTTCAAAGGGAACCTGTACTTCCGGGACATTGACGGGCGTAGCTGTCCGAATAACGATGACTACGAGACGCGCTGTCACACGGAAATGTTTCCCAGCGACTTTGATATGCGCTCCCGGCATGTATGGACATTGAAGGATAAGAAAAATGTGATCATGGGCATAAAACAACAGGTAATTTTCGGTTTCTCCTGAATCCCGCAAATGTCCTAACTAATAGCTTCTTCATCCTGCAGTTGTTGGATCACAGCAACAACACGATGATTGAACAGCCCAGCGGCAGTCGGAAGCGGAAGCCGGTCGAGAGACACGTCACAACGCTGGTCAACCTTTTGACCACAGCCGACAGCAGCTTCAGAATCGATTGGAATCAAATTAGTACCCTGGACGTGGAGTACCGGCATTCCCCCCACAGTTGCGAGGCCATGTGGAGTGTCTACCTGCGGCCGGATCTCAGACGCGACGATTGGACGCCGGAGGAGGATGAGACTCTGATATCAGTGGTCACGGCCAACCGAATGCAGAATTGGGCGCTTATAGCCGATATGTTGGACCGGCGTTCGGATTACCAGTGCTTCGTCCGCTTCCACACTGCCCTGCGCAATCAGGTTGAGCCGAAGGGAACCCTTCGCTGGACCGAGGAGGAAAACGAGCGGCTCAAAATGCAGGTTGAGCGAAACACTTCGAACAACATAATAAACTGGCAGAGTGTGGCCGAGTATTTTCCGGGAAGGTCCAAGTCAACGTTGATAGGGCGTTACTTTTATGTGCTGCATCCCAGCATCAGTCATGGTGGGTTTCCTTCTGCCTTGTTTCCACTTCTTTTTCTGTACATTTCTGATTCTACTTGTAGAAGCCTTCAGCACCAAAGAGGACATGATGCTGTTTGCCGCCGTGGAAGAGTACAATGGTAAGTTCCACTGCTTCCCGCGTACCCTATTCCCGAACCGATCCTTGGCACAATTGCGGACGCGCTACCACAATGTGCTGGCGCAGCGCAACAAGACCGATTCCTGGTCGGTCCAGGACGACACCCGTCTGATGAACTTTGTCACTGAACATGGGCCCTCGCAGTGGGTGAACTGCGCCACATTCCTGGGTAACCACACGCGTACCAGCTGTCGCACCCGCTTTATGGTGATCAAGCGATTCCTGGAACAGAATCCCTCTGCAACGGTCGAGGACCTGCCACGCAGAAGGTCAAGGAAGGTATCGGTGGTCACGGCTGATAACTGGGCGCAACGTTTGGAGGAATGGCAAAAGGATCCCACGTCCTTAGTGGATGCTGATGAAAAGGACAAGTTCTCACGCTTGTATAAGCCAAAAGCTAAAAGGCCCAAACGGGAGAAATCACATTCGGAGAGTGAAGCCAGGATAGCAAAGATCGACTTGGACTTTCGCGACTATTTTAAATACGCTTACAAACTGGCGATATTACATCCGGCTGTGTTTTCACTACCGCGAGATTCACAAAATCTTTCCCATGCGGCGAGGGCTCTGGCTTACAAGCCACCAAACCGTCCTATAACATTACAAAGTATCGCCTTGCCGAAGGAACTGATCAAGAGCTACAACGGCATGATGAGGAACCTTGCGGATGACAAGCTAAATGATTCAAAGGGCCCCCTCCTGCCTCCCAACTACTCCACAATGATGGCTTTCCGTAGTATTTGTATTCTCTCTGGCGAAGCTCGCAAGCAGGATACAGAGTCGGAGTCGCAGACGTTCAACGACTATGATGAATCCTCACCACCTATCCAGCTCTTCCGTCAGCGATTGCGGGCTCTCTTCTACCGAACGACTCTGCTCAGTCGACTGGAGTCAAGCCTATTTACCAATCTGCCCACCGCCTTGACGGCGCATCCACGTCCAGCTGAAAATTACATCGAACTGGGCAGCAGTTTAACCTTGAACGAAGTCGTGCCAGAGTCGAAGAGCTGCCTGAAATCGGAACCGCTCAGCGAGGACGAGATAATGGGCCCCACCGTCAAGCAGGAGGTGGAGCCAGACTACATAGTTCCATAGAAATATAACTGCAAATAAGCTTTATAAGTTTTTATTATTATTTACTGTATATTATCGCGTTGTATAATAATAATTCATTACAATAGCTAACAAATAATTTATAAACTTGTAGGTACTTTCATTGTGTTTCACATATATTTAGCATAATTATACGACGGACAGCATGAGTTCCTCACCAATAAGTGCTCCCGGGTTGGCTTGAGTTTGTTGATGCAAGCAAACGTAATGTTTAGATAATAATATAAACAATTATGCTTTCAATTCTAAATGTTTTGGTATATTGTATTTTGTAATTTTCTCGAAATGCTTCTCGAAAGAGAGGAAATAAAGAAATCAAACATTTATAATCACATTTAGACCCTGCAAAACTGTCCAAAAATTGTCTAAAGATTAAATTCCACTTCCGAACAACGTTCATTGTCAAGGGAATCGATCGATCCATATCCTATTGTATACAGTGGGAACCTTCTTTATTGTTAAGCATTTTTACGTTAGCTTTTGCGGATTGTGGACTACGTGTTGGGGTGCTGATTCCGGCTGCTCTCCGCTTTCTATTTATTGGAAGTTGCTAAAGTCCGTCTTCAACTTGATCGTGGGCTTTTGTGGCTTAGCCAGGAGGTTTCTCTGCGCCTCAGTTGCCTTTTGGGCAATATTAATAGATTGCTGTTGGCTGCGAATGGCCGCTTCCAGTTTCTGTCGAAGCTCCGGTGTCTGGCCCATCAAAGCCTTAAACTCCTGCGGATGTTTGGGGCCGATCTTCAATAGCCACTGCAGAGCCTGGTCGTGCAGTTGCTTCTGGTATTTGGGCAGGGTTCGGAGTCTGCTTGGCTCCGCTAAAAATCCAATGAGCACAGGCACCAGCAGCGTCAGCATTTGTATGTCTGTGAAAGAGAAATATAATCATTAATAGTTGTGTCTTGTTAGAGCTGAGGCCTTGACACGACGCGCTATATATTACAACCACATGCAACATTTAAAGCGTGATTTTCGATTTGCATCTAGATCTCTATTTGATATTCATTATTCTATGGGTTGTTGGTGCATTTGAAAACATCGAGAGTGCAATTAAGGGTACTTTTCTAAAATATAAGACAGATTACACATCAATATTTTCATTTATCCGAGTTTAAGTTAAAATCAGTCTTATATTTTTGAAATGTACTGTTGTCAACATGAAACATATGCATTGTTGGATCGATCTATATAACTATTTACCTTGTAGCAAGTTCATGTTTCCTAACAGTTTATTTTTGTTTGGTATTGTATTAGTGTTTTTGTACATGATTTTTGTGAGTTGATTAAAGGGGAAGACAGAGAAAAGAGCAAATATATATAATAACGTATTGGTTGTTTTGTCTCAAAAGTGAGTGCAGCTCTTAATGTTATTGTAATGCTACTTATATAATATTTTTTCCTGAGATTTAAGATCAATAATGAAATGACATAGAAAAGCCGAATGGCAAATGCAAAGACTATTTATTAAGTATAAAAATGTTGGATTGGATTGGGGAGAATGTTAACTAGAAATGCTAGAAGAGACATCGCGTTCCGCTTTAAGACTAACTAAGTTCTAAAGTCAGGGTACTCCTGTTCAAATTAGGTCATTGGTATATTTAGAGAAAATGCAGATACCTAGAGTCTTGCAGATTAATAAATAACAATTTATAAAGCATTAACATACACCAAATATTACATTCGGAGCGGGAAACTCCCCGAAGTAAAGATAGAATTGCGAGTAACGTATAACTAAGGCCAACAAAAAATCGCAGAACCAGAAACGGAATATACTTTTGTGAAGGTTTTTATGACGCTGAACTTGATTTAAATTCAGCGCATCAAAAACTAAAGTTTAAGAGAAATACTCTTAGCACTCGATGCCCATTTCCCCAACGTTTCTATCAGTTTTAAAGTAACCCCAGGACCCCCAGGAGTACCCCGAACTCAAAAGAATTTCAAGAGCAAGTTGTTGTGCAAAGATTAACAATATAAAACAATCACACTCACGGTGCTGAGGCTCTGCCAGATCAATCAGCTGCTCCACGGTGACAATGCTCTCGATGGTGACCTGCAGCTCCAGCTCGCTGGTAGGCATCTTGCTGGACTCGGCATACAGCGACTCGATGATTCGTGGCGCCAGGGCGTGGATATACGGTGTAGCCGTCTTCAGTTCCGCTTTGGCAAAGATCGATCGGGTGGTTTCGATGCATCGCAGCTTCACGGAGAGGTGCTCCGACTGCAGGCACTGTCTGAAGTGATTGATGCAGGGATATTGCAATGAGGGCGTGGACACCACAGAGGCGGGCGTGTGCAGGATGAAGACAGCGATGGCCAGCAGCATTGTGACTTCATCGACTCTTTTCTCCTCATTATCTCCGGCCGTTTTCGTAAGATCCACAATTGTGGCCAGGGAGCTTTGGAGCAGTTGTTGCCACTCCTCGGATGTTTCCTCCACCTTGGCCCACCTGTGGACACAAACGGAACGCAGACACTGGAGGGCAGCCTTCACTGCACTGGTATTGGCCAAAATGGTGCTATCTATGGCCGACTTATTGGCTATCTCCTTAACGATACTGGTGGTCATATAGAGGACGGTGGGCAGGATGCCTAGGGCACCCTTGGGAGTACACAGATCCAACAATTGTTCAACGCATTGCAGCCCGCTGGCCACTAGCAAGCCGTTATCATCGCCCAGTACGGAGAAGAAAGACGATCCGGTGGCCATTTTGGCATAGGCAAAGTCAAGCTGGAGACCACCAGAGCCGGCCCCCTGCCTCGTGGGATTCATGCTGGGTATTTGGCGGACAAAGAGGCAGAGGCACACCTCCAAGACGGCGTAGACATGGGAGCTGCCGGGCTGCATGGAATCATCTTCCCCCATTCGTTCTGCACCGCTCCCTTCCTCCGAGTTGGCATTGTCATCCCGTTTCCTATCCAAATCCTCTTTGGCGGCTCGAATTGTTTGCTTAAGGATCTCCATGCAGAGCAGTTGCACGAGCAGCTCATCCCTGGTGAGGATCTGTCGGTGCAACACATGGCAGAGTTCAATGGTTAAGGCCCGATCCTTGACCAACTGCCTCCTGGCCCAATCAGAGTCGAAGATGCTGTGCAGCGATCGCAGGCAGCTCACGATATTCCTGGGTCTCTCCGAGCTTCTCATGCTGCACAGGGCCTCCATGCAGATGCCGAAGATCATGTGAAAGCGATCGGCCGAAAGTGAGCCATGCGTTATCTGGTTGTTATTCGATTCCGCCGTCGTTTCCCTTGTGTCCTGGTGGCGGGCGAAACCCTCATCGCGTAGCCACAGAGCAGAGGCATAGAGGATTGGTGGCCAACTGGTCATGTAGTGGGGCTTCGAGGAGTTGATTGTGTCCGTGGTGTAGAAGGCACCGCCATCGTGCGGCAATTGCGATTGGAATTCCGCTGGAAGCAGGAGCAAGGCGTGATCCTTCATGGCACTCAGCCAGTGGGCGGAGAGATTCTGTAGCTCTGGTTGGACCAGGCCAAGGAGACTCTCTCCCCGGCTCTCTGGGGGCAAATCCTGGTCGTTGATCTCTACACCGCTGGTTATAGATTGAATTCCGCCCGACTGTTGAGATTGCAGGCTCAGCAGCGAGGCGGGAGCCTTGCCATTTCCCAACATGGCCACAATATACACCTCTGCCCAGGCCTTCAGGATGCTCAACTTCTCCAGCGTGGCCATGGATTCATTGTACAGCTGCGTGCTATTGGTTTTCGTGGAGAGCTTGCTCAGCGAACTGACGAGCAGCTGGTGGACTCTCCGCAAATCTCCAATATCGCGAGCCACTCCGGAGCCAATCCAAGCGGAGCAAACTTCGCAGGCGGCGGCCGTAACGTGAGACGGTGTATCGGGAGCAAAGGCAGGACGCAGTGCGGCACCGACTTGGGCTTGAAACTGTTCCAGTAGCAAATGACCGGGAAACTCCGGCTCGGGAACGTTGGCAAAGCGATCAATGATCTCCTGCAGCGTGCGCAAACCCTCCAACCGAAGCTGATCCGAGTCGGATGTGGCGGCCATGAAGGACATACGAATGAGCTCCGCCAAGTGCAGGATGAGGTAATCTCCGCGGGAGCGTATCAGTTGCTGCTCCTTGGCCTGCAGAAGGTCAAAGTGCACGGAGCTAGCTGCCTCACAGCTGGAGATGATCCGCCGCACACACTGGGCGGCAAATACACGAGTTGGCCACCTCGGTTGCACAGCGGGATGGGTGGAAGTATTCTCCTCTGCTCGGTATTCGGTCACATCGTCGGCATACTCCTCCTCTTCGTCCTCCTCCTCCTGCTCTGCTCCGCCAGCATCCTTGCCCTTGTTCGGATCTCCGCCAGCGGGATCATCATTGAGTCCACCCTCCACGGCCACGGTCAGCACATTCTTGCAAAGACTCAACCACGAGCTGAGATTGTCGGCAGCCAGCATCTGCAGCATGGAAGTGAGTGTGTCGTGAATATTCCTTAGCATCTCCACATCTGTTTCGGTGTCCAGCAACGAGAAGAGCAATCCCGGCAGTCCGTACTCCGTGATTACCAAGTCCGGAAGCTGCTCGGCGTTGATGGTCAGAGCCAAATCGCACACTTCCTTGGCCTCGCGATGGGCCAATTGGCGCAGACACGACACCGAGGCCTTGCGCAGGATGAAATAGTTGCTGGACAGCATGCCAACCAGCGTGGGCACCAACTCCTCCAGCTGCAGGGATTTGCAGGCGAACAGATGCAGCTGCTGCAGGCAACCAATGGCCTCTGCTTGCACCAGAGAATCCGAGTGAGCTTGGAGGAGAGCTGCCGAGCAAAGGAAGGATCCCTTCAGGCTGGCCACTCCGCCACCGGATCCCTGCAGCTCTGGTCCCACTGTGGTGATCAAAGCATTCACCACTCGACCCACACACTGATGAACATCCACGTGAGCATGGGGAACAGTGAGCAACAGCTTCAGGCATAGGGTCAGGGTGGCCTCCACATAGCCGCGGAACATGGGGCCTCCGGAATCGGCAATCTGC